AGAGGGGAAGGGTCGGCAAAGGACCTCGAGCCTGGAATTGAACTTAACAACTACACAATTGATTCAGAGGTTTGTTTGGATTTGTTTTATCTGTACAAAACTACAATCCTTTTCCTTTCCTGTTTCCTGTTCCTTTTTTTTTGAGGCACCATAAGGTGTTTTTCTAAATTGCTTTTGAAAACACTGTCGGTTGGTGCTTTTGAAAACACTATCAGTTGGTGCTAAAGTAAGAGTAATTTAGTGCTAAATTAAGAGGCTTTTTTTTAATAGAGAAGAGAGAGAGACAGAGAGAGAGAGAGAGAGAGAGAGAGTGAGAGAGAGATTCTACAAGTGGTTTGTCAAACCCACTTACCTATGTGAAACACTTCAACACAATTTAAAATATGGCATGGAAATAAAACAAATTTAAGCAAAAAAAAAAAAAAAAAAAAAAATATATATATATATATATATATATATATATATATATATATATATATATATATATATATATATATATATATATATATATATATATATATATATATTGAAATGTAAAATAAAAAATATGCCATAAAATAAATTGAGCAATGCACAAAACAAATAACAAAAAAATAAACAGAAAATATAATAAAAGCAGCTACACTATAAAATAGAATAAATAGAATTAAATAAAAATCCCTGCAGAGAATTATATTTATTAACAATTATAAATAATTAATAAAGCCTACTATTAAAATCACAAACATCGCCAGTGTCCTTGCTTTTATAATAAAAACTGTAAAAATAAATAAAATAAACAAACTGAGAGACAAAATCATAAACCGTATTCTTTCAGCACTGTTCCATCATCCTAATTGAAAACCACAAAATCGATGAGCAGCTTATTGGATTTATTTTATTTTATTCCATAGGAAATGTTTTAAAGCATCAAGGACGTGTGCCCTTTCAAATCAGTTCAGCATCCAGTACACAATCATCATTAATTGCTAATATGAAACAGAACCCTTTCATTTTGAGATGTAGTAAGTGCTTATGTGTTGTCCTTGATTTCATTCAAACTTAGCACAGTGAAAAAAAAGAGCCCTCTCCACAAATGCTGGCCAGTGCCAATGAGGAACGGAGCGAGCGAAGAAGGACGCAGTGCACCCTTACTGCAGAAAAGCCTTTAAACAGGCACTTACAATGAGCCTGCATGGCTATGGTAGAGATGAGCCTTGGAACAGGAGTATGCAGGATATAAAGTCTACTGATGAAACAAGTAGAGCCTACACACAAATGCCAAGGTTATTCATTTGCCAGGGAATTCGGAAGCGAAAGGGAGACAAAAAAAAAAAAAAAAGCGAGGGAGGGGAGGTGATAGGAGAACAGTTCTGCCTTCAAAAAATTCGACAACAAAACTCTCATAGAGCCAGTATAGGACCCTTAACATTACCCATAATGCAATGCACAGGAAAAATAATAGAAAGAAACACAAATTAAGACATAATTAGTAGCCAAATTGTATTCTCACACCAAACAAGACCATTTTAAGGGCACTAATGTAAACCATTAACACACACTGTGATGGAAAAGCAACTTCACAGGGGATAAATGCAATTCTTTATATGGACTCCAAGCTTAACTGCTAAATTAGCCAGGCTCAAGTGAAACAGGTGGGTTTGAGATGGCATAATGGCTTTTTTATTATTTAAAACTACTTCTGCAAAATAATAAAGAACGTACATAATAAAGAACATCCATCACTTTGTGCATTCATTCATTCATTTTCCTTTCGGCTTTGTCCCTTTATCAATCAGGGGTCACCACAGCGGAATCAACCGCCAACTTATCCAGCATGTTTTACACAGTGGATGCCCTTCCAGCTGCAACCCATCACTGGGAAACACCCATATATTATTATTTACAAACTACGGACAATTTAGTTTACCCTATTCACCTGTACCGCATGTCTTTGGACTTGTAGGGGAAACTGGAGCACCCAGAGGAAACTCAAGCAAACGCAGGGAGAACATGCAGCTCCAGAGAAATGCTAACTGACCCAGCCGAGACTCGAACCAGCGACCTTCTTTCTGAAGCGAGAGTGCTACCTACTGTGCCACCACGTCGCTCACTTTGTGCAATAATTTCAAATTATATACATGTGACTTGGCTTGTTTTCTTGTAATTTTTATTTTACATATATTGCATCCGTCATATTTTAGCACCAAAAACTACCAGCTCTAAAATTTGGTTGCTTGGGCCAGACTGCAGCTCTAAGGAAAAGGTTTGGCCGCAGAAGAACGAGACACCCCAGCATCGGGTTTGACCTACAATTTTGTTTGCTTGTCAATTTTTTGTTTATGGCCACTGTCACCTCTGGCTTGCTTGGTTGGGGCTGGTGGAGCTTCTCTTCAGTCGATTATGCTTCAACCGTATTATTTCCATTACACTGAACTGAATTTTTAAAAAATGAAATTCCAAGTTTGTCATGTACATTATTACAACTATGCGATGGTGATCATATGCTTTGAAAATACAAATACACCTTTCCAGCATGACTTGATTTCAAATAAGCATCATATCAGACTGTATGGGAATACTGGATACTAAATGACCAAACCATTGTTAAGTTATAAAAAGAACATTCGTGAAATAAAGCAATAGCAAAATGTCATCTTTCCTTCACCAGGGTTTTGCTCTTTTTCACATATGCTTTTCAAGCCCCTTTGGTTCCAAAGAGAGTATTTAAGTACAACACACTTTAACATGATGAAAAGATCCATGCCATTTCACCCAAGAAAGGGCCAAGTCTATGTCCCATGTGAAAAGCAGCCAAATGATTTCTAAAATACACGCTTTGTCCATTATTCTCACGCCGACAATGCAAGGCATTCTCGGAGAGCAGCTGAACTCTAACAGCCCTAGCAGACTCCAGTCCCCGAGGTCTCAGTGGTTCCTCTCTTCCTCAACTCAGTATGTGCTGCCATGTTTCTGTGGAAACAGGCAGTCTTTCCTAACTGCTGTGCTGACTGTGTGATTATTGATCTCCTCCTGAGGTCTAGAGAGGCTTCGCAGGTCAAGTCATGTGACCTTAACAGGTAATGGTGGAACAGACATCAGGGCCAAGCAGCGATTGGGTTTTCGTGTTTTATTGAAGCAACGGGGAGTCGAGGTCTTCCATTCTGTCGCAGAGGGGTTCATCAAAAACGTGGGCATTTCAACACACGATCTATCATTCTTAGCCCGACAATCAAGACACCAACATCTCTGATCAATCGAACACCATGGAGAGGCAGCAAGTGCGCTGTACGCCCCCTTGGGTCACCATCATCTGCGCTGATATAAACCACCGAAGTGCATGTGACTCAGCAGTATGTGGACACGCTGACCGGCGAATTTGAGCCCGGCGAGACGGTGCGCCGGAGAGATTTCATCCCTGAGGGAGATGTGGCTCAAGCAGGTTGGTCTGCCTCCAAACCACATTGACAGCGTGGAAATAGCAATCTGCTCAGCGAGAGGGCCACGCGGAACGTAGTTTCCACAATAAAACCCAATAAAGGTGGGATATTGGGAAAGAGAGAAACAGAAACAAGGAGAATGAAAGAGCTGACAGGCTCCCCACCAGCCCTCATACTCTCCCCTCTGCAGGAAGTGCACACAGAAGCCAGACGAAAAGGCAGGAAGTACAGCAACCTCTGAACTGTGAGAAACTTCTAAACGAGAGGACTTGCTCATGGTGCACACCGTCAGACAGTTCTTCGATAGAGACGCTCCCAGAGAGTAACTTTCAAACTCTGGTTGGAGATGCAATGCAACATTCAAAACGTACTTCCACACGCTTCAAATCAAGCACATTTTATTGCTGACAGGTTATAGAAAAAAATCGCTCGGCACGAAATTCTACGCCAACCAGCGTGAGAGCATTGATTGAGTGGGCCATCTCGCTCCAAAAATAAATGGGTCTGTTGCAGCAGCAGCTTATTGCTGTATTGTAAATAACAACATTTACCTGTGCTTCTTTATCTTCAAGCTTCCTCACGTACATCTACGGGCTTCTCTCATAGCTCCGGCAACACAATAAAACTGCATTTTAAATGACAAGTGACACTTGCGGAGGCAATAACGGAGCCCCTCTAAATAAATAAAATAAAACAAATAACAAGCAGCCTCATATGGGCTATGGGGCCGCACTACGCGAGGAATAGTAGAAGCCAGTCGGCAATTACCGCATTACCGAGCTGTGAAATGAGGAAACATTGCCATCTTCTCGACAGTATATATTTATAAAGATTATTACCGTCATTTTTGAGAAAGTGGGGGGCGAGGGGCAAAAGTAAGTGACAATAACAACATGAGCAGCTATGAACATTTCAGAAACAATAGTGACATGCTGTAATGTGACTGGGACAAAGACATGGCTTTGCAAATGGCTTGTGCAGAATGTCCCACCACAAAATGGAGCGTATTTATAGGATGGGGGGGACGCACTTAATATATTTTCCGCTGTTCAATCAACTCAGAACGTGTGTGTGTGGGAAAATCTAATTAAGTGATACATTCTCAGTACGCTGTCTGGGGGGAAGAATGAACACAATGAAACCCATTTAGATACAGAACATTAGAATAAACAGATTAGATCACAGATTATGATTATTTGCCTAAAAACTATTGCTCATCCTTGGTGTTACAATATTTAAATGCTAATATGTGTTAGGCAGTGATCCATTTCAAAGAAGAACTGCTTAAACTAACACAAAAAAACGGTCCTAGTTTGTTCTCCGAGAGAACAATTGAGAAATCACTCATATTTTCCAAATGTGCAATTTACATGCAGGGATTGGGAGAAGGGAGGGAAAAAGCAGAACGATTTCAAATTATAGCCAATAAACTACACTAATGCTGGAAACCAAATTGAAATTGAAAGCCAGAGAAATTACTTCTGTAGATATTTTAAAAAGAGGGAAGAGAAAGAAACGCAAAGACACAGAGATATTGCAAGGCAACCATACAAAAAGCGAATAAATAATTGTGCTACTTACCGCAACTTTGCTCCCAGTTATCTGCATGCAGCGGTCAGCGGAGGGAAGTTAATGTGCAAAAAGACACAAACAGCACAATCATTAGTAGGCCAGGATCTCTCCGGGACTATCCTGCAGTAGTATTAGAGCTTAAACTTAAATCACTGGCACACTGGCCCTCTCTGCTGCACTGCCTACTCAGGTGAGAGTTACACAAAACCTAACAGGGTGGAGAGAGAGAGGGTTTAGACGGACACTAAAGACAATGTCTGCCGTTCTGATGACTGCTTAGAATTAGAGGATCACAATCAATCGATCGCCGATCGAGTTTTTAAAAACAGCTCTCTGGTCGCTCGTTGGCTTTACATAATGACTGCCGAGAAATAAAGAGATGTCTGGTGAAATGATTGATGGAAAATGTCATGCTTTAAAGAATATGAAACAACATGCAGCCTCAATCTATTGTTTCCCAGCCGCAAATCTTTGCTTCATGACAAGCGGTTTCAATATTAAAGAGATTTTTTGACAGGCAATGCAAAATTCCAGAGGGGATCGGCACTCAGTGAAAATTTCCAAGAATCTACTAGATTTTTAGTAAATTAACCCCAATGTGGTATTTTATTCATGAGCAGATGGCCTATAAAATGCCTCTATAGGCCAAAAATCAATCAAATGTCACTGGTAGTTTCTATCCGCTGTCAAATTACACATCAAAGCTCAAAGCTCGATGAAGTCAGCACGTTTTTTTTCTTGGCCAAGCCATAATGGCAATTACTAGGCTGAATATCTAGGAGAACTTTTACTTGAGAGCAGAATTCTAAACTAGATTTATCACTCTTCTCACTTTATCAGCGATACAAAGCCGAGGGCGGTAGTTTCTAAATCCAATCTTTTTCTTTTTAACAAAGCCGTCCTTTGTTTTTAACAAACTCCCACGATCCCATTTTTAAGTGAGGGTTTATGACTATAATAAAGGCAATTTTAACAGCATAACCTCTTGATCAACAGAGCTCTACTTTCCAGTCCAACTTTGCGCATTCCTGCCAAATACGCTGAGATGAATAGTTAAGGGACTGGATTTTGACCCAAAACAAAAAGTCACCTGCTTCTGCTATCACCAGACGTGCTGGATAGCTGCCAAATATTGTTAGCACTGTGCCGTGTTTGATGAAGGTTGTATTTTTATTGCAGCCTGATCAAAAGAACAGACATTATCTTGAAACCACATGAAGAACTGTCAGGGAGGAGCCTGAGGGGAAAAGCTGCTGCTAACATCAATTTACACAAATTTCACCAAACAACACCTCATTGTCACTTTACTGTGGTATTAATGCTGTCAAATCCTAAGGAGCATGAAGAGTTGGAAAAAAAACGGATGATGGTAATTGTTGTAATGCCGAATCAGGCAGTCATGTAATATGCTAATTATTAGCAGCTCTATTATGAAGTAGCTCCTGTAAACAAACTTCAGAAGAAATGTCATCTCATCAGGAGATGGATATTTATATCCTCGTCCCTGCACATCTCATGACCATCAAATGATACAAATTTATTCATTTATTTATTTATTAGCTCCTGCATCCAAGACAGGATCAGATCATCTCTCAGGAACTGTCATAAATGATTACAACGACTTATCCTGTAATTGAGTTTCTGTGTCTGTGCAATACCACAGTATTGACAATGTTCACATGAACATCATTGGCAAGACATTGTTTCCTTTCCCCTCAAAGACCCTGCCTAGACACATTCTATTCCTTTCATGAGCCATTTCATTAAAAAAGCGAAAGAGGAAAGCAAAGTCAGAGCATTTCAAGACAACGGTGGAGTTTGAGATGAATGATGGTGTTAGTTGTAGACATGCTTTGGCACTCATGAGGACAAAGACACACCTGTGAAAGACTGAAAGAGAGAAAGCTTTTTTTTTTTTTTTTAATGTGATGGTCAAGGACGTTTGTAAAGTGTAGAGTTGACATTGGTTTTCACTGTAGGCGGCTGACAGCTGTGGCTATATGTTCTGTAATCTCAGCTACATGCATCAAAAAATGTTTAGCCTTTTTTATACTAAGCAAAATTATGACAAATGATTTTTAAAATGGCTCTATGAAAGAAAAAGCTGTGTTTTAAGTCCATGCTTATTATGTCCAAATTAATTCCATGCATTTACTATACCATTTACTATTTAGGGTTAAAATATTGTAGAAATTAAGACTTTATTTTTAAAAACAGTTAAATCACAAAAAAGAAAAGGTTGTGCAAGCTTCAAATATGCTGAATGGGAGGCTAAAAAATCTTAACAAATATTTACTAGGGGGTTAAAACAGACAAAATAATATAGGTGAATACTGTAAAATTATTTTTAGGTGATATTGTATTGATCATAAAATTATCATTTTTGATTTATTCGTTTACGTCTAAAATTTTAAACAATAAGTGTGAGTTTAGTTTAAACCAGGGATGCCCAAACTTTTTTGTATAAAGGGCCAAAAGCTAAATATTATTGAGAGCTGTGGTGAATATACCAAGCTACATATTAAATTAAAGTTGCCATGGGTAATTTCATAAAACTTAAAAGTAAATATAAAACATTACTTTAAATCATGTTGACTAATGCAGTATAACATTTAAAATGATAACTTATTGTAATAAAAACATAAAATCACATTTATAACACAGTGGAGTTCAATGATGAATACACTAGTCAAGCAGAAACTGCCTTTGCCTTGATTTGTCCTCTGTGAATCGTTTATCATAGATGACAATGAAATATGCACTTCTAATTACACATGTAGTGTAACAGGTCTAATTAATAAAAAAAAAACAGTATGATCTGAACCATGAATCCTGTGATCCATTGCACTCCTAGTGATGTATTCTTCAAGTTTTTGTAAAATTCGATTTTCTTTCTGAAAATAAATGAATAAGCAACGTATTGCTTTGCTTACAGTAAAGTGCAAGATGCTATATTATAGCTCCATTGTTTCCCCAGATTATTAATGCCAAAGTCCTAATATTTCTGTATTCAACACAACAATTATTTTAGCCAATTCGTCCTATTAAAAATTGTATATATACATAATTCTTAACATCTTAAGATTATATTTACCAATTAAACATCACCGGAAAAAAAAGTTAATGTTTTTGCTGAACATATAAACATATTTTAATGTCAAATTGCACTGTGTGAAAAGAAAATATATTTTTTTAAATGCTTTCCTTTATAATCATAAAACCACGACTGTCCATTTCAGTGCGAAACGTAAAGCTATATATATGCAAAAGGACCATTCTCTTTTAACACATTATAGTTAGTGGCGCCTTCATTTGAAAGCCTCCTACTGAGACCCCCTGGAAAGTGTAGCAAGTGCATGCTGAAAGACTCAAGTGGCTGCCTTAGGAAAGAATGTGCTTGTGTCTCCAAATAAAAAAAACCAACAATGCAAAGGACTTAATGATAATTCTAGTATTAAATATTTATATTATACATTAGTTTCCTTTGGCAAATAGCTGTTCAGAAACGTTCAGTGTGAACAAACAAACAAAAAAAAGTGTGACCATGTAACATAATAGAAGCATGCATAAATGTGTCAGGGGAAAAAAAGGTGTTGGCGGTAAATAATGAAATGAGCTGTGAACCACGGGAGCTGTAAGTTTCTGTCAGACAAGCAGTAATATCGAAGCTATCAAAGCGGACAGACATCGCCAGTGCGAAACTTCTCTATTCTTCCGTCCTTCTTTTATTTCATTGCACTGCCCTCCTGCCAGGCTGGAGCTGTGGGAGTCTGCCGCACACAGACAGGCAGGCAGGCTGCGACAGGAGTGGATCGGATGGGTTTGTTTTCCCACTAATATTTGCTCTGTAAAGCTGTGTGCCGAAACACAATCTACTGTAGGCAGATCGGCACACTCGGGGAGATAGCAGCAGATTAAGTGGGATGGATGGACTCCGCTCTCCCTTCTTTTATTTAGACGGGTTTGGGTTATTAATGCGGAGGTGTGCAGAGGCCGTCTCCATGCTGTCTGCTCTTGGCCTGGCTCACCCCTGCTAAATTACACCTGCAGCGGCTCAAGCGGAGACCACGGGCCTCCTCTATCGCCAGACCACCACTTAATTACTCCCACTCACCAAGCAAAGAGAGGACACTGACCCAGTGCAGCCCAAGACAGACAGCACAGGAGCCACTTTTTTTCTGGATGCGTGTCAGCATGTGTGTGCAAGCATTAGTCTGTAACACTCTTGGTAGCTATAAATCATACAAAGGAACTGCATGGTGAGTCTAAGAGTGATTTCTTGGAGGAACTCAGTATTGGAAGGATTTGGTTACAAATTAGTGAAGTGAGAGAAAAAAAAATCCCATCATCTCATGCTTCCGACAGCTGTGAAAATTAAGAACATTATTAAAGTCAACATGCAATCCAAATCGACCTGTTTGCTTTCTCAATAACTGTTCCAGGTTTATTTCTGCACAATTCATGAGTGTGACATTTTCTGGGGTGGAAAAAAAAAGAGAAAAAGTATGTCTTTCAGCAAAAGGTTGTCACTGTTTTACTGGATTAGGAATTTTTTTCTATTAGACTACTTGGAAATGATCAGCCATTTATACTTTGTAGTTATGTTTGTTGTAATTTTGTTTTATTCAGTAAACTTATGACAATTTATGAAGGAGGTTCTTTATATATTAAAACAAAACGTTGACATTTTACTCTCACTTAAACATTTTAGCCATATCTAATAAAAAACAATAAAACCAGAGAAACTGAATTTTCAAGTAGTCTTTCATTTTTTTCTCTCCATAGAATAAAGTCAAATCTTTATCATTCATATTTTTACATGATCCTTGAAACACTGAATGATAATTTTTCCAAATGTTATGCTTAAAATCTTACCTTTTTCATTATGCAAACAAATTAAATAAATAGAAGTAACCCTTTGACACTTTTAGGTCCCACTCAAAAATGTCAAATTACTTTAAACAGATGCATACTCTGTTTTATGTTGACATTAAATGTTTAGAACACTGTATGGATGCAAAAATTCCAGATTTGGTTGTACAATTATAGTCTGAGGTCGAAATATTCTTGTTTTTTTACAGTTATCCTGATTACTATGCATTCATTTCAAAACACTAGTTTGGTAAGTTACATGAAAGCTCCTTATATTTTAAGGTATTATTTATTGCTGCTCAGTAACCAAGAAATATGTTAAGTTTTTTGGATGTTGTGTAAGTTATGTTTTGTTTTGTCATCAGGTGTTATTATTATGTGATTAATTGTGGGACCCCCTTGAAAATTAGATGGTACATCTCAAGGGGTTTATCCCAATGAATGAATAAATACCAAATATGACACAACATAATAATAACAAAAAACAAACAATAGTCCATTTCTCTTTGGACCTAAAAAAAAGTGAAAAAGGTTTTTGGCATTTAAACAAGAAATAATTTTACGCAAAAAAATCAGTGACCGAAAAATGAATTTAATAACAAAAAGAAAAAATGAAAAAAAGGTATTTGTCTAATGTAAATCTAAGCTACATATCCCTTTTAAAGAGAACAAATGTAGTCAAAGGCTGCTGAACCTCTGAAAGGCACTTTTGATCAGCAATATGCTGTATTTTTTTATGCTGTATATTTTCTCTTTAGAGTAAAAATGTGTATAGTCCATACAAAGTATGAAGCTGACTGGTCTAGTTCTTGTCACATGATTAGCTGTGCACTCACGGCATACTTTCAACTAGAAAGTATTATTGGCCCTGGAAAGCGTGAGTGTCATGCCGCTTTGTGCCACCAGAGACCTGGTGTTGAGAAGCCTTCATGATTAATAAACTGCGACTATTTAAAGCACGGTTTATAGTGAAATCGGTAATTCATTGCATCCCTAAAACACTGTCACTCAACAATATAATAAAAATCGCTAGCAATTTGTGCAAGGCATTAAAAAATAGTTCACCAAAAAAACAAATCTTTTGAAAATGTAGACATCCTGAAGTGGTTCCAAACCTGATGAGTTTCTTTCTTTCGTCAAACACAAAATAAGATATTGTGAAGAAAGTTGAAAACCTGTAACCATTGACTTACATAGTAGGAAAAACTAATTTTCACAATTCAAAAAAATATATATTGTGTGTTCAACAGAAGAAAAAATACTCATAAAAGGTTTGAAACAAGTAAAGCGTGAGTAAATGATGAAAGAATTGTCATTTTGGGGTGAACTATCCCTTTAATATCTGCACTACTCCAATCAAAATTGGCAGTATGCAGATATAGGCTATGCAGCTTGGTTAGTAGCTTGAGCTAAATGTTTAAAATAGGAGACGGAGGAGGAGGAGGAGATCTCCGGGTGCTAGACTTGAGCATTACAGGGGAAAAAGTGTGTTGTGCCTGTGGTAAACATCTCTTATCACATAAAAGCACATCTCTTCCCTAGAATGCAGAGCACACGTTTGCAACCACCTCCTTGCTTGTCAGAGCGCGGTGTTCAGCCTCCACAGTGACATGCTGCTGGTGAGTGCCTCTGGTGGTGCTGAGGGGCTACAGGGGCGCAGGGAGACAGGAGCCCCCCTCTCCCCGCTTCCCGCTTTGAGACTACAATACTAATATGTGAATCATATTTCACAATGCATGCCAGCTCGCAGGGCCGACAATGAGCCTGCTGCAGAATTCAATCATCTCTGATTATCATCATTATTAATAATGCTGGTTAATTATCATAGCCGAGAGGAAAGCTAATGAAAACGGACGCCGAAGGCTGGCCTGAGGAGCTGTATGAGATGAACTGGATGTTTACAAGGAGTCTAACCTCGGCAGGATCTACTTCATAAAGTGAATGAAGAGAACTGGCCCCCCAAAAGCCTTGGATTACCCTGTGAGGCGGTGGCGTTCCAGACTTTATTCATCTATGGTGATGAAAGAGCCATGTTTCAGCTTACCGAGCAGAGACAGTGATGCGTACCAAATTCTAATGAAAACTTGATCCCTGGCAATATGAAGCTTTTGGAGAGTGCAATACAACAAAAGCAGCCTGATAAGCACAGAGGAAGAAAAAAAAAGGTGAAATGGGGGGAAAAAATTGAAAATAAATAAATAAGAATAAATAATAAAAAAAGGAGCTAAAGGAGGCGGCAATCAAAGATTTGGGGCTTTAGCAAGAGAGGCAGAAAGCAGATCAGGTTAAGCTCATTATTCCGTAGTGTCTCGTCATGTGGTTCATCCCCACTCTCTCCTCTGTCTGTTTCTCTCTTTCTAAGACTAGCCGCTCTAGTGTTGTGGTGCACTTACAGATTTGGCTGTGGCAGAAATGTACTGGACTACCATCTCTCGTTTGGTGCTCAGGTCCTTCCCTCGAAGAGGGGCCTTGCGCTCTTCGTTTAAGTTCATGTCCTCCTGTACACAAATACATATGACATTGTATTCAAAAGCAACAAATTTAACACATGCGAATAAACAAGCTTTTTCTTTTTGGAATGCAAAATTACATTAACATTTATGACCACAGTGAGGATGCTGTCCTAGCTAAATGAAGGTTATATTCTGTAATGAAGCCTTGATATATGTTTATCAATTCCATGACAAGTCAAGGAGATGTCGTGTGCTCAACAAAGAGTCTTTCTCCTGACATCCACCCTGACTGTGTTTCTGTGGAGCCATGCTGCCCTCTGGTGAAGAGAAAAGAGATTGTGTGTTGCTTTCAAATGTGAAGAGGTGATAAGTGTGTGGGTGCCCACAAAAAAGGGAAAACTTTCTAGACAAAGACAGTACTCAAGAAGGAAAAGGTGAGGGTTGTTGATATTAAAGCTATTTGTGCTACTTTTCATCAAGCAATTATTTTTGCATTGAGTGTAATACTTAAGACTTTTGAAAAACTGAGTTTGCATCATGTAGCTAAGAGCAGACCCTTTGAAATAGCAATCAAGTTAAGGACATCTTTTAAAAAAGATGAACATTTCAACAGTGTTAAATCAAGCCGTTGTCGCTTTCCTTTCCACTCACGTAAAAACAAGGCCTTTAATGAATCAGTGAGCCCTGTTGATGTGGCATCTTAATTGGCTCCTTAATCCAGTTCCCGCTCTCCAGTATGATTTACCCATCATAATTAATTATGTCCTCAAAGCTTGGAATTATTAAATCAAAGGCCAGCATTGCCCTAATTGAATCCTTTTACGGAAGCAGCCCGATCCACTGATGCAAAGGTAGAAATAAGTGCCTTTTTCCCCTCTACAGCTGTAATTCGAGACCAGTTGCTTAGTAGTTGAACTTGAAACTATTAAACTTCATGAAGTCATCCATAAGAACAATGAAGCTACCAATGCAGAGCATTAAAACTAAGAGCATACAGATGTGTATGGGATGCGAGGAGTCTGATCTCCCAAGGGCACAGAGAAGGGGTGCATGGGGAAAATGGGAATCAGTAGACCCATCTCTCACTTAAAATTGTTGTGGAGAGGGGCCAAGTCTCCTGGAGAGAAAAAAAGGCATAATCTTTCATGTTTGATCTTGGTCAATTGGGTTATTTTGTGGTGGGGTTCTGAGGAATTTTTCAAAATAGAAGCAATCCGCTTAGGTTTGTAAGGACAGTCAGAGGAACTCTTATTAGTCAAAGTGCCATACATCAAAATAAGCCAAATGCACTTTTGAGAGTCCAGCGGCGTACACGAAAGACCAAAAAAAGGTTCAAGCAGAGGCGATTTTTCCTTCAATCTGGAAGAAAAGGAAGAAGGCTGTCATAATTACGCCGCCACTGATATTTAAGTGCATCTGGCCACATTTAGTAAATAACTAAAGTACAGAAGGCAAAAGTACATTACACTCAACGTCCCCAAGACAGATAGAGGCTGAAAAAATGGCATCTGAGTGTGCTGAACAAATGCTCCCAGAGTAGAGCTTCATTGAATTTGCAAGGGGCAACAGTCCGACCTCATCAATCCCGAAGTCCTTCTCTGGACCAGGCGCCTCTCTCTCTCTGTCTGAATGTTAATGGCAATGGAGGAATAGCTGTGGCTGACTGAATGATGATGCAAACCGGAGGAACTGGCATGTCACATCCTGCCAGCACTGTTTCACAGCACGAGAGTCGCGTTAAGAGCCCTCACCCGTGTCTTAACACGCCGTCACCCAGCTCATGAAAGGATTTACCGCTGTGCATTTTTATCAGGCCTTGGGTCCAGCTGTGCGCATCCACACACACACAATGGCAAGGACGGGCAACACTGGCTCTAGAGCTCTCCTTGTGCACACATTAAGGCGAGTATATCATATGCTTAGTGCCATGACCCCTAACTCCCTTTATCAAAGACTGTAGACTATCATTTGTAGAAAAGCTCCCCTGTTTACCACAACCCTTTGATGACCAACCACATTAGTGCGCCCTTATTTTTCTTCCACTGCGCTATGCTCTGCACTGCAATCTCAGAGATCTGCCCACCTGCATTAAAGTGTGAGCATGGGGGGTTACAAATTTGCATTCGGTCAATACTTTCAAGTTTAAATATTGAAGAACAACCTTATATTCAGCCTTAACACTAATGATGTTAATCGATATGTGTGTGCAACGTATAGGGCTGCACAATGTTCGAATAAACAGACACTGCAATGTTTTGTTTTTCTGCGATCTATATCGCGATATGAACATAATTTCACCAGTTCAGCTAAATAGCTTTATTTAGAAATAATTTAAAATTTAAAGTTGATTGGAATGATTTCGTTTCTTAGTGGTGTAACATATCAAAATCTCACGGTTTGGATAACATTATGGTTTTTTTGTTACTGATCGGACCATTTTTCGGATCAGCCAAGAAGGGGAGAAGACTAATGTAATTTGTTTTCCATTTATTACAAAAACAGTACGGCAATATACATTTGGTTTTAAAAAGCAGAACTTAGAACCTGTAATTTTATTAAAAATAAAAAATAAAAATAATTTGCTGAATAAAAATAATTTGTAAAATATTCAGTACTGTGAAAATTTCATGGTTACTACTACTGTTGCTGATAATGCTAAACGAATAAATATAACATTATAATTAGTACAACCCAAATTTACTTTTGCCTTATTTTCAATAAATGATTCAGTTATTCACTCATAAAACTTCATTGCTAGATGGATCATTTAGGAATTATTCAGTGGCATATTTTTGATGGCCACCTTTTGGTTAAATTATGTAATTGCTGTCTAAAACTTTAGTTTTTGAGCATATGACAGTGATTTTAATCTTGACCATAAACATCAGTGGTTTTATGTACACTATAAACAGTTATCCCAGAACTTCTGTGTTATTTGACTTTGCAACTTCATAACCAACTCAAAAGACTAAAGACTTGAACTTGAACAAGAACTTCTTTCTTGATTTTTGCATTTTTAAAACACAGACTTGAATGCAGCGATTCGAAGGATTATTAAACATATGCAAATCACTATCATTTATGATTTGTGCTGTGTTGTTATTGAGATCCTGATCTTTTAATGATTCACCGTGCAGCTTACACTGAATGCAATAATGCAGGCTAAATAAGTAGTGACAGAAAGCAGCTTTAACAACATAAGAAGCCAAATCCCGAATAGGGCCAGACAGAATCTGCGGATGTTTTTTGCTATTTCTGCAGAAACTTTTGGTAAAAGTCTGCTGATTTCTGCATTATTATTTTGGAAGTATCATAACTACAACTTTAATATATGAAATAAAAAATAATATCATTTTTAACTTTTATTTAATGTTTAAAATGCAAATCCAATTAGATTCACTTATTTGGTAAATAAAGCAAGTTTGCCATATAATATATCTAGTAAAAGACAGAAAATAATGCTGTACAAACTGCATTGTACATAAATCAGAAGAACATTTTCACATTAGTCAATAATATTACTGAAATTATTTTTTTTTAAAAAATTAACAAATATAGATTTACACACATTTGCTAAAGTAACTAAACAGAATTAATGGTGGGCTAAAAACATGCAGAAATCTGCGGAAAATCTGCGAGCGCAGATTCCGGGTGGGCCTACGAATAACCTACCACAACTTCCTCCAACATCATTATATTTTACAGGAAAGTTTAAATGCTTCCATACATGTGATTTGAATAATATACAAGTGATTTGAATGATGCAAGAGGCGATCTTTCTGTGATCGTTATAAATTTAGGATTAATCGACTAGTTAAAAAAAAAATGATTAATCTGTGGGTCATGTGTGTTCCAAGCAATGGGTTGTGATCATCCGTATGAATCGCGGATCAACTGTGACCCGTTACACCCCTACTGCATCTACATACAATCATTTTGCTTCGGCTGATTTGCTGATTTATTAGGGGTTGCCATAGTGGAATAAATCACCAATTACTCTGCCATGTTTTATGTGGCGGATGCTCTTCCAATCGCAACCCATCAGCACAAATATTATATATAAAATGTATATCCATAGATAAGAAGAATAAAGCATTTTTTTGGAAACTCTAACTGTATTCAGGAACAGAAATTGAAAAATTAAATGTAAATGGATAATGCATAGTCTTTATTGTAAAAGTTGTTGTGCAGTCTCTGTGTGTGTGTGTGTGTGTGTGTGTGTGTGTGTGTGTGTGTGTGTGTGTGTGTGTGTGTGTGTGTGTGTGTGTGTGTATGTGTAAATATCATATATATATATATATATATATGAACACCATATATTAGGTTGGATGTGGTTTTGCTTTGTGGCTGATGAATCTTTTATTTATATAGACCATTAAACTAACTTATCTATGATCTCAATGTCAATGGCAAATGAAAAAGTGAAGCATTTTTCTGTAAATTGCTTCATTATGATTATTATGCTTTCGATACATAAGTCAATTCTACTCTGTGCAACATGTTTCAGGTCTGTAAACCTGCCTGGCTTGTCAAGCAGCAAATTGAAGCCCAGGTTTAATGTTCCGCTATCTTGAGAACAAAAACAGCAATTGAGAGGTTATGTGAGAGTGACAGGCAGTTACTAACGCAACGAGAAAATATGGAGGGCCAAGAGTCTCTGGCGGGTGGAAAATTGGTGCAAAACATTTGAAACAAATGAACAAATCAAACTGATTATAGCCCACATTGTCAGAGAATGCACGGCGATTACAGACAATGTGCTGCATGACTCAGTTGTGCATATGACCGGGTCACTATTTGACTAGAAACAGATGGAAGATAGGCATGGGGTTCATATTTTAAAGCTGTAATAAAGACATGCTATCTTTCTGAAAGCCATAACATCAATAGAAAGTAAAACGAAAAAATTAGACACTAGGGGACACTGTTTAGCTCTATGGTATGCCATCATGTAAAAAAAATAGCTCTGCAGTCCCAAGAATGGATTCCCTTTGGACTACAATTCAAAAAGGCAAAAGACATAAATATCATTTTTGACGTCAAAG